ACTTTATATCTATTGGATAACAATTCTCCCATGTCCTCTTAGCTACCACTCTACTCTCTTCTATGAATCTGTAAATTTTAGATAGATCATATATAAGTGGGATCAAACAGTATTTGCCTTTGTTTGCTATAAGTCACCAAATTAAAAGTGAGAAATCTTTTGAATAGATATTTCTTCTAAGAGACCATAAAATGACCAACAGGTGCATGAAGATGTTCAAAACCACTAATAATCAAACAATTTGAAATGAATATTAATATAAGCCCACAACTGTTTATAACATACCTGTTAGGATGGCTAGGATAAAAAGTTACATAATGGCAAGGGATGTGGAGAAATCAGAATGCTTTCACACTGCTGGTGGGAAATAACAATGGTATAGTCACTATGGAAGCAGTATGAAGGCTCCTCAAAAGTTCAAGAGAATCGCCACATGTTCAAGCAATCTTGAATTGGGTACATACTCAAAATTATTGAAATCAGAAACTCTAAGGGGACTCCGGAGTTCTAAATTATTATAACATGCAAGACCAATATATGGAAACAACATAAATATCCATTGACAGAAAAATGAATGGAGAAAATAAGGTTCATACAATACAGTGGAATATTTTACAGACATACAAAGAAGAGAGGTCTTATACTTGTGAAAATTTAGATAACCTGGAGTACATTGTGCTAGGTGTATAAGCTAGTCACTAATGTGGGTTTAATTTCAGAATTTCAATCCTACCCAGTGAGTTATACTTGCTTCCCTACTGCCCTTTGCCAAATTCAGCTCCAGGTGACCTTTTCCTACCTTTTAAGGCTATGAACCTTGCTAACCATGCACTATAGGAGTTTCTCATCTGTCTTGGTAAAGGGCTGGCCTCCCCTCAGAAGTGCCCTGTTCTGTGATCTTGCGATCCACAAATAATCTGAAATCTTTTTCCTTTTTCAATTCTGTGGGGAACAGTGCTAAATGAGAGTAAAGATTCCTACTTTATTGACTTTTTTTAAAAAAGCCTCTTTTCCTTCCCCAACTCCATCTAGCAAGTTGGTTTTATCTAATTTATAAAACTAGACTTCAAAATCAGCCAGGCTTAGTGAGGTGCTCTCTTCAGGATGACTAGGTACTCGTGGTTTATACTTTCTGGCTCTGAATTATTTAAAAATACCCCTTTGTTTATCTGTTGCTTATTTCCATTGTGGAATAGTAAAACTTTCTTCAACCCAAGTAAAGGTATCCGAAGGGATAGGCTCTTATTTTATGCTTTACCTGGTTTTACACCCAGGAAAAATACCCATGTGTTCAACAAATACATAAGAAATTTCAAAATAGTTGGTGATATTTCAAATAGAGTTCATAGCTGAACTACTCCTTTAATCCACCATTCTGTTCCCAGGGAGATGTTGAGGATTATCACACCTAAAGTAGATTATTTTTCTCTTTAACCCAGAATGCTGCCTTGAGCTTTCTTTGATTCTGTCTCCATCAAATAACCCAAAATATGGTCCTCATTATTTAGGCTTTGTTTTTCTTTCAATTCATACCCATAAAGCTTGTGAAATATTTCTTTTAATTTTTTTTATGAAGATAAAACACTTCTGGTTTCCTAGAGTTCCTTCCATAAGCATCCTTTCTGTGTTCACTAATTCTTGGGGCCATTTCTTTTTGACATTCACTTCCTAGTCAGTTTTATCCTTGGATTTTTCTCAACCTTGAAATACTAAGCCTGAATCATAAGGAATCCTATTCACCTCAGAATTAACAGTGAACTGTTTATTGCTCAGCACCAAGATTTTGGCGTTTTATTTGATAGTAACAATGTTTCATGTCTTCAAAAGCTGTGCCTTAAATTTTTATCTACACTTTAAAATTTTAAATAATTTAACCTAACATAAAAACAAAGCAAATAATCTAAGTAAAAAATTTCAAAGCTCAGAGCATTTTAAAACTGGCAGCGACAAGCATGAGGCAGCACTAAAATGTTACAGAGCAACAACACACATGTCCACTTTTAAAGAAGCTTTGGCTCAGGGATACCTCTAGCAAAATTAAATCAGTTTGCAGCAACTCCCTGCATTATATTCCCCAGGAATTTCACCTGTTTTCTACAAAGACTTGCCTTCAATTTCTAGTCATGGTATATTAGCTTGGGTTACCATAGCAAGGTAATACACTATTCTGGTTGGTTTAAACAATAAAAAATTATTATCTCTCTTTCTGAAATCTGAAAAGTTCATGATCAAGGTTCTAGCTGATTCCCTTTTTCTTGTGGCAAGTTGTAAACTAATGCTTTCTCAGTGTGTCCTCACATAGAAAAAGAAGGAGATCTTTGTTGGCTTTTACTCTTAGAAGAACACTAATTTCATCTGATTAGGGCTACACTGCATGTTCTCATTTAAATGTAATTATTGACTTAAATGCTCTATAGTAATTACATGTCCATGAGGTTTAGGACTTCAAGTTATATACTTGGAGTGACACAATCCAGTACAAAGTACTGGGTTATTTTTCTGATACATTCTGTATTCAACTAGTGAAAATTTTCAGGGGATAACAATTCTCAGGAGGATCTGCTTTACTCCATTCTTCCATTTTGAAGTGAAAATTAATCTGAGTCTCTTTTCATTCATGTTTCTCTGGTTCCAAATCTTGCATGACCATATTTTCATCCTTCTAAGTCTCACATTGCACTGGCAGGACACACGAGGGAATGTAAAAGCGTTGCCCACAGAGCTTCTCTCTATAAAGAAGGACAACAGAATGGACTTTTTACCATGGTTTTCTTTGTCTAATACAGAGGGTAGAAAACTATTTTATTGCAGTTCTTATTAGCTCAAGGTATGGGTGATGGGAAGAAATGTTTACAGAGTATATTTGTATTTAGTGAAAAACTGAATGTGCTAATAACTTTGGTTTTGAGGCATTATACCTAATTTTGAAAGATTTTCTTTCACAGTCACATTTCATATTAGATCCCTGTCTTATGTTTTATGATAATAAAAATTATGTCTGCAAAATTTCATAGAATATTGCTCTGTCTTCATTCTGTGTAGCTTTGATTCTGGGGGGATTTGATTTGTTTTCTTTGTCCTTCCTTATAATGGTAGAAAATTTCAAGCAATTATCTTCTCAATTAATTTTTTTATTTATTGTCTTAGGTTCACTCTCTTTTAGTGCCTTCTGGCCACCCAAGAAACACACTGTGGTTTAAAGTATATCTTGATATTTTCTGTGATGCTTTTCATATTTCTTTTAAAATTATCATTTTTGGATTGCATTTATTTTGCTCTATTTCTCTTATTGACTCTCCTCTGTATTTAATTTGTTTTTTAAAATTTTATGAAATCTTTTTAAGCTAAATTACTATGTTATTTATTTCAAAATTTCTGTTTTGTTATTTCATAAATATGATTTCTTATTTCTTACTCCTTTCCTTATTTTTTGAAACATTATACATTGCTACTTTATATCATGTGCTGGAAAATTTCATATGTGATTTTGATGTGGTGCTGTGATTCTTTCCCTCTTTATCAGTAAGATTTGACACATGGAGTATTGTTTCATGTTATATTTGGGAACATGGAACCTAAGATGTTCATTGTGTTGGAGAGAAATTTAAAGAGGAGATGGAAGTATAGTTTCTTTACAAAGTATTTATTTTCATTCCTGCTTATCAAGTAAGTGGCATTTTAAATCAAATTATTTGTTTAATGTTTTTCAGAACATATATTCAGTGTGAATTTGGATGAAAATCTTTCCAAATGATGATTTTGTGGCTGCATATTGTTAGGAAATAGCATCAATTCAATACTAACTTCATGACAAATGATTGTCTTTCAAAGTGGGATTTACTTCTCATGTATCCTTTCACTGACTGCAATTCCTCAAGGATAAAAATTTATGCAAGCTTTTAGATTTTTTATGTTGTCATCTTTTATTCAGTTTCTAATACTAAGTAGATGTAGTCTCTAGATCATGTTCTTGATATCCTCTGGACTTCAAACTAGTCACCTAAGGCTTTCAGGTTTTGGAAAGATGGTTTTGGTTTCCAAAGGGGCCTTCTTGCTTTTACTTTTTCTTTGAGCTCTATGGAATATATAAATTCCATTATATATATTCTGATTATAAATGTTCATAACTTAAAAATTGCATGCTTTAGATCAATACATCTAAATATACTTATGTATTTCGATTACATCAGATATTTTCAGTAACAAAAATGCATGTATCTGTTCATCTTTATTATTTTCTACCCTAGTGATTGTCTTCTTGCTTTTTTCCAGCTTGGGGATGTTGTGCTGATTTTAGAGATTGTGAAGAGGTTCATTCTATAGTCATGAGACAAATGGACTCAGAGGAGGAAAAGTCAATGTGTGATGGCTGCTAGTCTATCCTTGCCTAACCAAGAGAGCTGGTATCTGCTTAATACTATAAATTCCAAGAGCAGTGAACTGACTTGTTCCAGTCTTATAGGAAACAAAAGAAACTTTGGTACTTAGCTCTTCTAAGTACTGCCCAGTTTTCTCTAAGTTTGTGCACACTGGCCTCTGAAAGGCAGGCAGAGGGTAGAGGTGTCCCATATGAGGGTGCTTTTTCCTCCTCAAAGCAGGAACTCCTCTCACACCAATATAAGTAACAATCATATAGGGCCACATAATCATAGCTCTGAGTCCATTTCTCTGGGATTCTTTTGAGTTTACCCTTTTCTTGTGCTGGCTTTAGCATCAGGTAACTCTCTTTAGCATCAGGTACCTCTGTATGGTTGCAAGATGGATAATTGTAACAACTTATGTACAATGTCCCATAGATCTCAGAAGAGAGAGAGAAAGAAAGAGAGAGAGAGAGACTGCAACTCTTTGGGTAGAAATGTCTATACCTTTTATTTGCTGAATGTAGCTTAAATCAATATAAATGCAAACCAAATGCAGACAAGATGAATAAATAATCAATTCATAAAGCTGTGTGAAACAAGACTCAGTTTCTAAAATTTCATCTTTGCATGTAGGATGTCTGAAATGGAGATTGGGAAGACTTTCAAAAAGCAAGCACAAGAGGTCTCTATAGTGTGAAACAGTCACTTCTTGGCTGAGGTACACAGCCCCTGCTTCTGTTGTAAATCCAAGGAGTTTCTGCTAAAGGTGATATTTTCTGTTTCTCACAAAGTCTTTGAAGCCTTGAAGCCATCCTAGAATTCAGAGACTTTCTTCTATCAACTAGCTTCACATTTGCACTAGATGCCATTAAGTTTTTTAGTCAAACTCATTGAAAAACCATCAATTACTCTGGGCCATGTAACTATGCCAAGGAGTTGTTTCCCATTCCTTTTTGTAGAGAAATATATCTAACTTTCCAAATTAGGATTAAAGTAATTCAGGAAGATATCCATGCAATTAAAACCAACAAATATTTACTGAGTGGCTTGTGAGTCTCTAAAACATATTGCTTCAGCACATGGTCATGATTTACATACTCCATTTGTACCACCTTGATTACTTAACTTATTTATTTATGTATTTATTTATGGTTTTAAAGAGGCACAAGAAGGATTTATTAAAGATTAGATATAGGACACACGATCTGAGTGCTGGTGCTCAAAAAATGAGGCACTGTAGTGTCTTGATGTAATTATATTCTGCACTGTGGACTGCTTGCTCAGTAAATAGATTTTGGGTCTTTTATTGTGTGTGTGTGTGTGTGTGTGTGTGTGTGTGTGTGTGTGTGTGTGTCCCTGTTTATAAGTGTCTATCTTTCAACCAAAATTTAAACCCACTAAGGAAACACTTTTCTTCCTCACAAATGTCTTTGGCGGAGTACTCATTCTTTGATGAAAATGCAGCAATCTTTCTGGATGCCCAGAAATGTAGACAGTGACTGCCTGCATGTTCAAGAAAGGCTGCATTTCCTGGTAGAAACTGCCCACCAAACATTTGTCCCCTGACATCTCATGCCACTGGTTTAGCCTTTCTGCATGTTCTCCCCTACCTTGACCCAAGAGCTTTTTATGTCAAATCAATGGATTTTCTTCTAAAAATATCCCAGTCTGTTCTTTTTCATTTGTAAGGTGGATAAGATATTAAGTGCATTTTTGAATATTTTTAAAGTAAAAATAATACTTTTGCTGGCTTTTTTACTCCAGCTCCTTATTCTATGCCTATTTTCCTATTTTAGGTAGAAGAAAAGGATTATGAGATAAGAATCTAGTTTCACCTTCACTAACGGCAGGTAATTTAAACTTTTAAAAATGAATGAGCAAGCTTAGCTTTTTTGTTTTCTTATAGGTAGGTAGTTATAATTTTTAAGAATTCTGCTTAGTATTCCTGAAATTATTGTTTATTTCTAAAAAAATAAGTAATTAAGGAAGACTTCAAAACATTTAAAGCTTAGCAAGTTAAAGATAGTGCTTGTGCTATAGACTTGGAGGCTCTAGAAAGCATAACAATCATATAGTACATTGAATCTAGAAATAAATGTTTTATAATATCAGGATATTTTTCATTGGTAGAAAAGCAGATAGTTCTCTCACTCTTTTCTAAGTTATTTTATCTTTCATAGCTATTAAGGGCAAAGAGGAAAATTAAAACACAAATTAAAAGCCCAGAATATAATATACCATATCACTATAAAGCTGTTGTGATATAGTTTTAAATAAAAAGTTGTTATTTTACTATACCTTGAATTGCATAAAATTGTAATTGTCATTTTAAGTTTAGTAAATAAACTAGCATCACAAATGACACTTTGGGATTTTTTTTTTTAAAACTCAGGGTCTCACACTTGCTAGGCAAGTGCTGTGCCACTGAGTTACTTCCCCATCTCTGAGAAATACTTTTAACCAATAGAATTGTAAAATTTCAGATCTATTATAAGATTAAATGCTACCATGGAAAAATATGAAGTAGATTCTTATAGCACAAAAGGGAGTAATACAAATTACTAATATGAATTTTTCATCTGAGTATGGTATCGATGTAGGTTCTTTACAGAAATTATACATATTAAATCTCTCCACAAGCTCATAAAATATTCATAGTTCCTACATAGTACTATTATGCATATTCATTATTGAGACTTACATTCAAAAAGGAGATATGTTTTGTCCTGTTAATAATAGGGTAAGTCACTTTTCAAGTGGTAGCAAATGAGACCTCTCCCCTGAACATATCAGAGGATGTCAAATTGCCATTGCAATGATGACATCTGGATTTTACTGGTTATTAGTGTATTGGAGTAAACAGTAAGAATTAATTTATAATAATCAATTCATGGGATGTTTCTGTTGTCTGTGGCAGAAAGACAAGAAATAAGCAATTTGATTTTTTTTTCTATATGGTCTAAACCATGAAATCTAATGCCACAGCAGTTATCTTTAATAAACTTTGCAGTTCCTAGTGGAGTTGTATTTATTTATTGAATAGAATACTGACAATTGAGATTAAATGAATGCTTCTTCCAAAGTAAACATGTTGTTACATTTACTGTCCAATATTTCTTAACAGTATTATTATTTTTTTAACTTTCTATGAAGAAATGGGTTGTCTAAGAGGTTAAATCACTTGCTCAAGATGATTCCACTGATAAATGGTACAGTGAGATTTTAATGATGACTTTTTTACTCCTAGGAAGACATTCTTCACTTTGGGCATTGCTGCTGCTGTTGTTTGCTGCTATTGTTTGCCCCAACAAGATGTTCTATTATGATCTCATCAAGACTGATAAATATTTTTATAAACAATTGAACCAAAGCAATGAGTTAAATAAGTATTATGAAGTAATTTAAAATGGGAAGTACCAATATTTAATTCATATCCCGAACCTAATATTTACACCAAATTCCTGAATGTACTATTGACATTTTAGACAAATGAATGCAGTCTTTCTTTACTTTCTTAGATGATAGTCATTATGATTTTGGTACATTCCTTTGATTTCGTATGGGATAACATAGTTTTATTACTCTCAAAGTTTAACTTCATGTTTTAAGCTCTACCAATCCCTTTCCCTTTTGCCCTAGTTTTGAACATGATGACATAAAGCATAGTTGCCTACTTCCTTTGGACTTGTGAGAAGGTCAAATTATGCATCTTAGGATACTGCACATTAGAAGCTTCACCCATCTGTGCCCTTAACCATCGCAAAGATTGAGCCAGTTTCCTTTCTGCTTTCTCTACAGTCAGTGTCCTGTGGCTTGTGTGCCAGAATGGGTCTCTCAGCAAGCTTCCTAATATGAGTAGTAAACTCCTTCCTATGATCTTGGTGTATTCTTGGTATCATCAGCCTTCACACAGAACCACATTTCAGGTGAACGTTCATATCATTTAAGGAGAGCACTGACTTCAGCAGTTCCATTCACTTTTTAAAAATAATCCTAGCAGAAAAGGAATTTGAAGGCTGTGTTTTAATTCACAGTATTAAGAGAAGTCTAGAAAGACAGCTCACACATCAGGCAACTCTCAAGACAATCTGGGTAGGAAGGAAGATAACTAATGTCAGGGATGGTTCAGGAATAGTCTGGTTAATAAAAAATAAAAAACAAAAGTTGGAAATGTTTTCTCTAAAATTAAGGAAACAACAAGAATGTTAATGTTTTGCCATTTTTTAAATTCAGTGTACTGTTGAAAGTGTTAGCCAGAGTGACAAAGCTAGAGGACAAAACAAAGAGGAAAAGAAGAGATCAAATTATCCCTAGTTGTAGATATGTTTTTATATGTCTGTGTCCAAATTTTCTCTTTGTACGAAAATACAATTCAAATTGTATTATATTCAATGTAATAATTACCTCTCTACTAATTATATCTGCACTAATTCTTTTTCATATTCTAAAGTACTGAGGGTTATGTCTCAACAGTGAGTTTGAGGTACACAATCTTACCACCACAGCTAAGTACAAGATCATAAACTTGTTATACATTAGTTAGCAAATATCTTTCATATATTAGTTTTAAAATACCTCTGTACTATGATCCAGCAATTTCAGACTTACTCAAGATATGAAATCATATTTTGCCTATAAGACTTGTACAAAAATATCTTCAGAGTCTCATTCTTAATGAATGAGAACTAGAAATAATGTCAATTACCTATCAAAAGCAAGGTTTAATCAAATATGAAATTTCTCTAAGATTGAACGCTACTTAGAAATTAAAAGAATCAAACACAATAACATGAATTATTGCAAAAGGCACCATCTTAAGCCAAAGAAATCAGTAACAGAAAAATTCAATTCTGTGTTTCTACATGTATAAAATTAAAAAAAAACTATCACAATAGAAATTAGAAAGTAATCTGGAGAGTAAGGGAGGGAGATTTAGTAGAAAAGGGCAAAAAAGAACATTCTGGAGCAATAAAAATGTTCCTTATCTTGCTTTGGATAATATTCAGTTTTACAATTGTCAGAACACAATAAGGTTAAAATCTGATATATTATTGACTATGTTAAACCTAAATTGTGTATAAATACATAATCAAAAATCATAAATACATAAATACATATTGTGGGAACTGAAAATCCCAGCTCCATGTTGTGAAAATTTAAACATATGTGGAAACATTAAGATTTTTAAAACGCAAATTGTTTGTAAATTAATATTTAAAGTTTATTTTATGATAACATTCTGCGCCATAAAAAATAACCAGTGCATTGTAAGGAAAATACAATTAAAGCTTGTGAAACAAGGATTTCATATATTTATTTTAAATTTAACTACTTGTAATTTTTTCCTTTGGGGGGAAATTGAGTTACTCTGATTTGATGTTTTTATTAATTATTTGATATTTAATAGCTAGAAAAATATAGTTCACTTAGTCTACTAAAACTTTAACTTCAATATAATTGTTGACATATATTAAGGCTTTAATACCAGGATAGTTTGGTGTTCCATAGGCAGTAAATATCATCACTTATCCTCAGTGGCTGAATAAAGCACACATTTTATTTCTCACTGAGTACACACAGAATATCCAAAAGCACTCTTATGGAACTTGCTCATGGAAGTCATGCCTAATGAGTCTTTTAATCAACACAGAATAGAAAGTGAGAACTTTATGCTTGGTAATTAAATTTCCCAATCAGAAAGTGAGTTGACTGGATTCTACCTAAAGATCACCAGTCAGAATTTTAGTCATATAGGCAAATCTCCCCTCAAGAGAGAGGGAGTGTATATTACCTGGCCTGGAAGGTGAGGAGATCTCGGATAAAGGCAAACAGTAGTAAAGTTTTTATATTTATATAAAAGGGAAGGCATATCCCAGGGGGCCATGAAATTAGGAGTTTCTAGGCCAGCAGAAAAGGAAAAATACATTTTGGTCTATGTAGTTAGAAAAGATTCCGTTTACTGATATTACTAAATAAATAAATAGTTTACAAACTTTTTAAAAGATAAAATGATTTGAACAATGCCTTCTAACCTCCTGTTAACATAGCAATTGCTAACAACTACATTACCAAATTGGAAAGAAAAAAATTAGATACTGTGTTTAGTGTGCAATATTCTTTCTTTGTTTTATTTGAAGAACTTCAGTATTCCAAATGAGTTAATGAACACTCATTAACTCCCTTTAAACATTTAGTCAATAATTCATAAAATTCAAAATATAAAATTTAAGCCCCACCCCTTCTTTGGTACCAGGGATCAAACTCAGGTCCTTGTGCTTGCAAGGCAGGCCACGGAACCAATGAGCTAAATCCCCAGCCCATTTCAGCCCTTTATTTATCCAACTTTTCCCAACTCAAAGACACACTCACACGCACACACACACACACACACGCACACATATCTAGTTCTGCTAGTAAGAGGTATGATTTTCTTTTCATTTTTTTCTGAATACATCTTTAAAAATAAGTGATCATTTTCTTATTTATTCTTTCTTCAGTTGAATGTAGACATTAAGGGCTAGTTTGAGAAAATTTTTCTGTATTTTAATTTAGCTTGAAGCTATGTTCAGAAAGAGAAAGCCTAGATTGAAATGACTGAAAGGATCAGAAAACAAAATAAGAACTAACATCTTTATACAATATTTATTTTGCTTACTTTAGTTTTATTTTAATTTTGTCTTGTTATATGTAGCTGAAAGCAATGCTAACAAATACATGTCCACAATTCTTTACCAATAAAAAGATATGTACACTTTTCAATCTTCTACAATAGCATATCCTTAAAAATTCCCATAATACAAAGAGTATATAAAATGCAAATTAAAAGCTATTTACAGTTTTTTGGGGAGTACTGGGGATAGAACTTGGGACCTTGCGCTTGTGAGGTGGGCAGAGATGCACTGAGCTAAATCCCTGGAAATTTACACCTTTCTTGAGTCTTCAGAACATTACCCTATTTTGCCCCCTTGCCTTAGGAAGTGACTATAGATTATCATGGCTCTGCAAAATATGGAGGTATTATTTCTCTATTTCTTCCTCTAAATATTTGAAAAGTTCTTCATTGTTGAAACTCAATTACTTGTTTTAGCATAGATAATTTTGAATCAATTTGCCCTAAATTAGTGTGGGCTCTTTCAATTTCAGAAATCCAATTCTTTCTTAATTTCAAGGAAATTTCTCACAATTTTGTTTTTAGTATTACCTTCAGTGTTTCTATTTTATGTACTTCATGGCTATCATTTTCTTAAAATGTGGTCAGCTGTCGCGAGCCGGCAACACAGAGCACTGTCCAGCAGTCTCTCAAACCTGAAAGAGCAGCGGGGTGGAGATGGGGCAGAGAGAAAGGAAGGACGCCAAGACAAGAGTCTGATCAAGGTGATGTTTATTGCCGGCAAGCATCGGCCTTTTAAAGCAAAAAACCACAAACTATTATGGGATGGGGTTACCATAATAACTGAAAGGCCACACAGGAAAAGAGCAAACAGGCTCAACAAAAACAACCCACTGTGGGTAGTAGTAACCCGGACAACCACACATCTAAAGGTCAGAGACAAGAAACTGTAACTTTCTGGAATTCCACAAAGGGAACACACCACCTGCTAAACTGGAGAAACTTATCACATATGGAGTTACTAAAGTTAACAATACTTACAACCAATACTCACGATCCCCACAATTCCTCCCTTTTTGTTTTAAAACTTTGGTTCCACAGCAAGAAGAAGCTTAAGAGAAATTATAGGCATGTCTGAGCCTGTCTTAGGTTGGGAAAAGCATTTGGCTGTCTTACCCATCACTGGGGTCATCTGTTTTATAGGCCTATAACATGATGACGATTTAACAGAAGCCCCTGTCTTAGGTTGATCAGTCAAACCTTTTCCTCTTACCCGTCTTTGACTTTCCAGACCCTCATTGAAGCTCTCTTTTTATCTGAGTGAGGTAAATGCCCAAATTTTTGGAGGACCCTTCCTTAAGGGCCATGAGCTCATGTAATGTATTGCGCTGTATATAAGCCTGCTTCTGTTTGTATCAGAACCAATATTTTAGACTTATTAATAAAATCAAAACAATACCTCCTAGACAAACATAGATGACAATCCAAGAGGGATCAAACATCTTCTTCAGATTTTCCCAAATCCTATTAAGAAAAGTAGTATCCACCTCAAGAGGGTTAATATGTACAGAAGATAATTTATGAATTTTCTTAGATAATTGTTGGGTCAAATTAAAATATTTAATAGTCCAAGGTCCATAAAAATTTTTTTGGAGCAATTCCCTTTCTTGAGAGGCATTGTTAACCTTGATTGGTGTAACACAGAAATCAAATCTTGGATCACAAGCACTTTTAAACAATCTGTACAGATCATTTATCTCCTCAGACATTAAATCAATCTGCCCTTGAACCAAAAGAAGTCCCTCATAAAGATGACTATTTACTT